AAGGCCCGTCTCCACTCTTCACACACGCGGCGCGGCACGGAACGCCACGGAAACGGCGCCGTTCACCCCTACCGGCAAAGTTCAAATCTATTATATCACTCCCAGATCTATTATATCTGGCGCAGTCTCCACTGACACGGCACGGCGCCAGCCCGGTTTCACGCCGACGGCGAAAGTCAAATAAGTTTGACTTTTGCCGGATGCCGTGTATGGAGAAAGACGCTTGTTATTTTATCACGTGTTCTGCTCACGCCACCATCAGCCAGTGGACAACAAGCACATGCATAATTTCTGATCACTGAACCAGAGTGAACACAATGCGCTCAGACACAATGCGCGAAATCACAATGTATTTTTTTTCAGCACAACGGCGCTGCGTTTTGCTGTGTCGTGTCGTGCCGCGTGTGTGGAGACAGGCCTTTACTGTTGTTTGAAGTTGTTGTTTCAGTTTTGAAGTCAAGTGGCGTAGCCATGGTGACCGGTCGGCCATTTTTGTGTTTGAAACGGGATCGGACTAATCTGTATAAATACGCCTCATAGAGCCGGCAAAAGTTTCGAGCGGAGCATAGAAGTCGAATCTGTGGTTATTTAACATGAATAAAGTGTATGTTGTGTATGCGCCGAGTATTTTTAATTCATTTCTGTTCGATGCTTATTTAGGCTTGCTGCCTATGAACGCTTTCTACTGTTGTACACCACCTAAACTGCTTGCGATTAGGCCTACATCCCAGTTGACAATGTAAACATTATAGCTACAATTGTTACCTTGATTCTCGCTTTTCACTGCGCGGCGAGTAGAAACGTACGGTTCGATAACTAACTCCCATTGTTAAAGGTACTGGGGACGTGCCGCTGGACAGTGTATATTTTTCGAACATCATTATTGGCACATGGTATATTTTCCGAGCATCATTATTGGCACAGGGTTATCTAGATACACACCCATCAAGCTGATATTGGACCAATATTGGGCCAATATCACCAGGCCGATACTGGACCAATGTCTGCCTATATTGACAGGACAGGACATAACCGAAATGTGCAATATTGCAACAGGGTATACTTTTTAGTGCAGTATATTGGGACAGGGTGTATTTTAGGGCACAAAGCAGTTTGCGACAGGGTTAGATTTTCTACCCCCCCCCCTCCCCCCGGGGGTACGGTTGTAGGACCTGGTCGGGCTTTGTAAACATATGCGGCTCTCTTGTTTTCACTTCGGTTCACTTAAACATTAGCTGTTTCAGTGTGATTTACCGCTCGACAATCCCTTAATTCCTTTTCTTTTTTCGGAGGAGCCCGGACACGAGGATCATCTGAGGTTAAAGAAACCACTTTTATATTTGCGCTAATTTTCTAGACAATACCGCGCGCGGCATCGAAGTGACACTTGTTATCCGCGAGTTCAACAGTTACCTACAAAGCCGGGTTCACACACTGTTCCGTCAACTGGCAGCTAAATCGACTTGATAGAAATCGCACCGAAAGCAATAGCAGACGCCCTGCGATGAAAGATCTACGCTACGGAGCAGCCGCATCTAACCATATAATCGGTAGGAATTCGACCGTCCATCGAGCATAATCGAGTCCTAATTAATAATACAGCGTATCGGTTGCTCTGCTAGTGTGTTTGCTGACTTGCTGAATCAAATACCATGCATTTAACCGGTTTGATAGCACTCGAATGAGGCACAGCGATTCAGGGTTCATTACCCCATGAGAGACGGACACACGCAGAGAGACAGAGAGAGAGAGAGAGAGAGAGAGAGAGAGAAAGAGAGAGACAGAGAGAGACAGAGAGAGAGAGAGAGAGAAAGAAAAAGAGAGAGAGAGCGAAAGTCTCTGCTAGTAGAACAGGAATGCAAACGTTAGGTAGTCGTTGGTCGAAGTTGAAGGGTAACTGAGCGGCCGTATAGTTCCCTGACCCGCGGACTCACCGGGCGGCCTTTGTCAGAAGCTGCCCTTCGCATTCCGTTTGGAGGACCAGACGGCACCGACTCGACCAGAAGTCTCGAATAGACGACTGAAACTAGTTGGCGGGTAATGTTGATCGGCTTATGTAGCCGATTAGCGACGAGCGCAGCTTTCGAGATGGATCGCTCGTCCGGCACACAGGCACTTGAAAGGTCTCAATTAAAAAAAAGGTAAATAAACACGAAATGTATTTACTACTAAAGTCTTAATGTTTCTCTACTCTATTTCGCCTATTATTGCCGATAATTACCCGTAAATGCCGGTCAAATGCTCATCTGCAACACACAAGTACACCGCACGCCCGCCCTGTGCACAAACAACATGAATAAGAGAGTTAATGTTATTCATTACCTCTGCCAAGGGGTTGGCAGGAGGTTATGTTTTCACCGGCGTGTTTGTTGGTTTGTGCGTGTACAGCCTAACTGAAAAGGTTATGGACGGATTGTCATAAAATTTTCAGGATAGGTCAGAAAT